AATTTAAAGGAGTTAGTAGTACGTGTGACACACTCACATGGTGCCTGGTACAGAGTGAGGACTCCATGTGAGATGGTGGGGTTAGTAACTCTCCCATTATGAGGAGAGTCCTGATAATGAGAGCAATTTCTTTCTACAGCAACTCTGCCTTTGTGGCTACCTTGGCATTCCGCCCCCTACCCTCTTCTTCTTCTTCTTCTTCTTTTTTTTTTTTTTGGCATTTCTCCTTTGATTTGACTTTTGGGTCTGTCTGGAGCTGACTTTCCATAAAACATTAACACAGATGAACTGCCTGGAGTCCAGGCAAATATTTGTGTTTCTTAAACAAGTGAAGTACGAAGGAAAACACAAAGCTGATTTCCTTATAAATCCCTAAGGCGGCTCACCTTTCTAAATGGAAAGGTATCTGCATTCATTTTTATTCAAATCATTATAAATAGTTGAGCTACAGGTAATGCGCATGAAATTAAATTTCATTAGAAGGAAAAGGAAGACATGAATCCTCACTGGCACAGCAGCTTGAGCTTAATTATTTTATAAAGATGGCTTTTTGCCTCAGAAAAGAACGAAAGTTCATATTAATTCCTGGCACTTGTCTGTTTACACATATTTTAAAAATCCATTCTCTCTTGGGTTTCCGCGTGGTTCGGACCCCTCTCCATCCCCTGATGTCCTTCTTTCCAGATAGTCTAGGTCGAAGTTAGAAGAAAAGCAGAGGGGGGAGGAAAGGCAGCAGGCAGATAGATACGGAGCCCTATGCTGTGTAAGGCACTGTTATTCTAGCCTCACCATGACCTTTTGAGGGAGGTATTTTGCTCTCTAACGTTCACCGAGCTCTTACCGCGTGCCTGGTGCCTCGCCAACTCCTTGACTCGCTTTGAATCCTCACACAGCCCTGAGAGATGGGTAGCTCCTCTGACCCTGTCCCACAGGTCGCACGGGGAGGCGTGGGGGTGGTTAAGCAACTGGTCTAAGGTCATGTGGCAAGGAAGGGGCAGCTCTGGGATCTGAGTGGTCAGTGTGTCCCATGAACTAGTGTGACTCAAAGTCCCTGCTCTTTACACTTACACAGTCTGTGTGCCCATAGCGCTCAGAAGAATTAGGACCCTTTCCTACAGAAGAACAGTCATCTCCAGCAGAGATGTTAAGATGGAAGATTTATTTCCACTCTTCTCTGGGGTGTTCTGGTTACTCTAGCTCATCGGAGGGCCTAGACTTCCACGTTTGCTCCAGGATGCAAGGGCTGAACACACTTGCTGGAGGAATGGGATCGTGTAGGGGTGCAGGCCGCCGCATGGAAGGGGTAGGCACACTGGGGTGTGTATGCACACCGGGGCCGGGCCATTCACAAAGGCCCAACTGGTCCAAGCTGTGGTAGGCAGATTTCAGAGCCATAGGAGCCAAACGTAATCCTAAACTGTGTAAATGTCCAATAGACCCCTGACTGATTTTTACTTTTTGAATTATTTTCATTTTAATGGTTTATTGTTACACTGACACAATGGGGTAGGTCCTCAGCAAAGGTGTCCTGTTGGCTTGAGAGCCTCTGGCATTATCGGGGTGATGCTCCCTTCTCATGGGAAGCAGATAGGATTAACAGATTGTGATTTCGACTGGAATCCTGAAAAAGTCATTCCCAGAGCTGGGCCCCCATTCCTAGAAGACACACCGTAGTGAAAGAGGAGAAAACAAGGCATCCGCAACATCTCTTGGTCAGAGCTGCTTTAGAGATTGGCTTGCTTTGCCCCAGACTAGGCTTAAGTGCTACAGTCTGTAAGGGTCTTCTCCTCATGCCGGGGTCAGAACACCTGCCCCTTTAGGAGGATTACTTGCTTGCCCCTCAGAGCTTGGTCATGAGTGATCAGTAGGACTCCTCTCTTCCCCCCTCCGCCCCCGGTGACCCACATCAGAGGGAGTTTCCGAACTCTCTGGACCATCAAAGATGTCACCAGAAGGATGCAGCCAGGCCAGAAACAGCCATTGCTTAGCATTTTATTTGTAAGTGACTAAAAGGCCAGTGAAATCTTTTGACTGGCTTCTTCCTCCTACATTTTCCATGTTCTTGTGATTTTAATAAAAAAAACAAGGTATAAACTTGCCCAGAAAAAGGAGTAATCCCTTGTTTGGAAGACTCTAGGACAGATTACTAGGAAAATTCTCTATGTACATCTATCTGTATATGCATAACTAGATCCATGTATGCATCTCTTAAATGGATAGGGATGATAAGGGAAAGAAAGGCTGAGTGCTGACTTAACTCAAGGTCACATTGCTCTTTGGTGGCTGAGCCAAAACTAGAGTGACTTCTTTTGGTTCGCACCCACTACCCTTTGCTAGGAAACCCTGGCTGACTGGCATCTGCATCATTATCTGGGGGTCTTGTGCTAACACTGCACAAATTCAAACCACTGGCCAGTGACTTCCTTGTTGTCTCCGGAAACTCCTCAGCCCACCTGCCCTAGAACCTTGACAAGCACCTCTACCTGAGCTGCATTCACCCTTTCTCCAGCCCAGACTTCTCTGCGGAGGGCCAGACCTTTTGTCCTACCGCCCTCCCTCATCTCCACCTGCTATCTCTCGGGCTCCAGGAACTCAGCCTGTCTCAGCCTGAACCAGTCCCCCTGGCCCTCTGCTGGTGCTGTCCACCTGCCCAAGCACTGGAGCAAACCCCAGGTGTCATCCTTGAGCGCTTTCTACTTTCCTCCCCAAACCCAAGCAATCGCTCAGTAGTACCTAGCCACTGTCCTAAATATATTGAGAATCCGTTCCCTTTGCCTTATCTGCACTGCTATTTCCCTGTGACTGCCTTCATCTCTTGTCTCTGTGAAGATGCTCATCTGGTTGCTCTACCTGCCTCTGCCTTTTCCCTCTCGAATCCAATCTCTGCCCTGCACCAGTTGAATTTGATAATGTCCTTTCTCTGCTGGTGTCCCCTGAGTGACAGCTTACTGTGACTTTCAAGATCCTCTGTGTTCTGGCCCCTGCTTCCCACACCAGCCCCATGTGGTAATCCCGGCCTGCTTCACTGGTGTCCTGCAGTTCCTTGGAAGATAACACTTTCTTCAGCTCTTGGTGCTTCCCATATGTTGATTGCTCCTGTTTTTCAGGTCCAAACCAGAGGCCACGTTCTGGATGCCCCAACTGGATTAAATTCCCTCCCTGGGCCCCAGAGGACCTTGAGCTTCCCCTCTTGTCACACCCGCCACACTCTATGGTCTCCCTCCTGCTATGCTTGAGGTTCTGGCCTGTTCACCATCGCCTTCCCCACACCTGCCACACTGCCTGATGTCCCTAGATACTCAATGAGTATTTGTGTAATGAGTAAATAAACGGGAACCTCAGATGGACACAGTAGTGCTGACTTCCTTAAGTTAATCTATTTTATCACATTTAATTGAATAAAATAAGATTATTGCTCATTCATAACAGCAATTCAAGGTTGAATTGATATGATATTGATGATATTAAATATGAATACCACCTCTTTGGTTCTCAATTTCTTCATCTATCAAGGTCAGCGGTTATGTCCCATGCAAGGTCCTTTCTAGTTCAAAAAAAATCTAAGGAATTCATTCCCAAACTCTATTAAAGTGCTGAGCTTTCCCATCTGCATTTTTGTCTTTGAGGGCAACCTTAAGAACTTTAAAACAAATATTAGTTCGTCTTTACTATAGATGGACAGATGCCCAAATACATAAGGATTCTTGAAGACAGACTACCTTTGCACAACACCTTATAAATCACATCTAGTACTCCTCCCAACTGATTTATAAATTAGAAAAAGAGTTAACTAGCCTGAGATCTCATATAAGAATAATCACAATCGGGCACCTGCGTGGCTCAATCATTAAGCGTCTGCCTTCGGCTCAGGTCATGATCCCAGGGTCCTGGGATCGAGCCCCACCTCCCTGCTCCATGGGAAGCCTGCTTCTCCCTCTCCCACTCCCCCAGCTTGTGTTCCCTCTCTCACTGTGTCTCTCTCTGTCAAATAAATAAAATCTTAAAAAAAAAAAAAAGAATAATCACAATCAAACAATGTGGAAGTGCTCTTCACTCAGTCACAAGTCTGTACTAACCCTTCCAGAAAATCTTCTTTCCACACATTATCATCAGCTGTTAAAAAGCCTTTTTGGAGGATTCAAACACATTTAAATGTAAAAGTTATTTTTAAGTGCATTCTTGAAGTGGTGTTGTTTTTTTCTCAGTCACATTAGGCTTCACTTCCTTTCCAATTAACTTAATTCATCCGTGTATTCATTATCCAAGAAGCAGTTATGCACCTGTTCCTTACTTGATAACACATAAGGGGCAGGTAATGCAAACATGCCTTACATTCTAGAGACAGTTCCTGAAGGCAGCAACCCCAACTTTCAGTGCCCAGTGCTGCTTGTCAGGCCATAGAACTGCCTGCGCTCTCCTATGCTACCATTAGGGACCCCAGGGCCACAGCTTCCCTTCTTATCAGCAGCATTGTCAACACTAACCATATTCCCTATAGTTTCTCTCTTCCCGAGAATGACACTCAGGGGTGACCCAAGGTTCCCTCACTCTTCTTCTTTCAGTGGCCAGTCCCATAATCCAGTGTTTACAACATATTTGACTCTGTTGGCTATCACTGTGAATACTGAAAAGTTAAACTTTTTGTGTTTGTTTCTTGCTAAATTTTATTTTATTTTTTTTTAAGATTTTTTATTTATTTATTTGACACAGAGAGGATGAGAGAGAGACAGAGAGACAGAGAGCAAGCACAAGCAGGGGGAATGGCAGGCAGGGGAGAAGCAGGCTCCTGGCTGAGCAGGGAGCCCAATGAGGGACTCGATCCCAGGACCCCGGATCATGACCTGAGCTGAAGGCGGACGCTTAACTGACTGAGCCACCCAGGCGTCCTTCTTGCTGGATTTTAAAAAGTCAAACTAATCAGTAGCAATTGTAACCATTATCACTCAGAGAGGTAATCTGCTTCTTTGCTTGTTTTTAAAAAAAACCCAAAAAACATCATCTTACCTTTCCCTGATTGAAATTGGAATTCCTCCCAGATAATATGTGCTGAAATCAAATATGTCACCATCAATTATGCTGTTATAAAAATCCACACTTATCCTCAATTTTTGGGTTTTTTTGATTATGATCTGTATCTAAAATAAATGAGAAATGAGTCAGTAAGCCATGGGGAATTAAAGAATCCTATTCAGCATGGGTCAGAGCTATTATGTTTTTATTTCCTTCAGATTGATTATATATGTGGTAGGAAGACTTTGAGCAGTAGCACTTCTGGACAAAAATATAATATTAAAACATTTTAATAGAAATGTTTGCATTTGAAATTAATCATGTTTTATACATGCCATATATATATTTCATGCCCAGGTACTTAGATTTTGAAAGGAGGTATCCCTCCTCCTTTAATAACTGCAAGTTAGTCTGGTAATAGAAAAATGTTTTGGGCACTGACTTAATTTTAAAGGACCGAGAATATTTAATAATTCATGCGAACAGACTGAAAGGACATACCGAATGGTCTTTTCCATTGTTGACAACCTGTGTAACTTCTTTTTCTTTTGGTGGCTCTGAATTCAGTTTGTATCGCACCAGGAGCTTGCCATCTTCTATATTTAGAGATATGAAGCGATCCTAGGGCATGGAAACAATGTAGATTTACCAGGAGATTCCCCCAAAGAAGACCTAGAGGCCTGGAACTCAAATTACTCTCAAGTCACAAACTGCTCTCAGCTGCAGCCCCCTCCTCAGTTAACAGGGACAACAGTGCTGTACTATCCACCTGCCAGATTGGGCATGATGTGTAAATATTCTAAGTCGTGTTCAACATCATGCTCAGTGGCCGGCACACAGGAAAGACGCAATAAATGCAGCTATGATCACGATTTTGTTTCATACAATCCATAACCAGTGTGCACAAATGGGAAGGGAAAAGATACAGGTCATTAGTACCATTTGAAAAGATGACCGCTACCTTTCGGAGGGTGGTATGGTCTTTGTGAAACCCCCGACATTTGCCCTCCTCTGCTCGCTGACTGCTTGCTGTCTCAGCCTCATTTGCTGGCTTATCCCCCCTCCAGCCTCCCTCCTTCCATTCAAATGTGGAGGGTTCCTCGAGGGCCCGCAAAGACCTCTTCTTCCCTCCTACCCTCTCTTTGCTTCAAAGTCACGGTCACTTTTGTAGCCCCAATGCAGGTGTGTGCCCATGAAGCCCAGATGCTTCTCTCCAGCCTAGACGTGTCTTCTCGGGGCCAGGCCCGCACATCCGGTAACCTTATTGTTACTGCGGGTGACTCGTGGATCCCTCAAATTTGAATACCACAAGCAGGGCTTGAGATCTACATGCCCCTCGGCTGCCAAGCCTGTCTCTCCGCCCTTCCCATTGCTCTCTTTCCTCCTTTCTCTCTCTCACCAGTAAGCACCTTGCTGAGCCAGCCACAAACCTACCAGGAGTCACTCTTAAACGTTCCCTCCTCTCCCTTCTTATCAAATCTTGTCAGTTCCCCCATTTTTTAACTCTCTTTGTTTCGTGCCACCCAGGGTCAGCCACACTTGTTTAGCCAGACTACACAGCAATAATGCCCCGTCCCCCCTGTCCCCTCCTGAACCCACTTGCCACTCTGCAGCCAGAGTGCTCTGTGGGAAAGGCCAGTGCGAGCTCATTACCCTCCTTTGCTCTCAGGGGGAAGCCCCAGATCCCCCGTACATGTTGTGGGGCTCTGATCACTCCTTCAGCTTCTTCTGCCTCTCCTTGCCCCAGCCACACGGGCCACCATTTTGTCCCTGAGCGCTCCCTGCCCTTCCCACCTCCAGGCCTTCTTTATGCCCCTCTCCCCACAGCGATCACCCCTCTGCCCTGTCCCCTCCAAATGCTGACCCTCCCTCCGGGTCCCAGATTACCCAGACTTTGCTCAAGTCTTTTATACATCTTCATTCAACCCAAACTTTCCCTCTATACCACTCATGGATGGCCATTGTGATGAATTAATTAACCAATTAATGAGTATAGCTTTGTGAAATATTTGTCTTCCCCTCTAGACTAGAAGGTCCTTGAGGACAGCAACAGCTTGTAACTGCATCCCTATTCCTGGATAAAGCACATACTTGAAGCAGGTCTTTCCTTAGTAGAAAGATACACTGAGGAATTTCTGATATAGGGCTTAAAGGCTTATTCTTCCACAGTTCCCTAATGACAAGAAGACCTCTCTTTGACATCTACAGACAGAACCCTTACTTAAAAGTAACATCACTCCTTATCTGGATCCTAAATCTTGTCCTTGGGAGGCAGTTAGGGTTCACCACACTCAACAACAGAGTCACATCAGCTCACTGAGTCATGAGCCACTCTGCCTAATAACAGCGCTCAAAATAATTTTCTCTTATCTGGCTACTAATGGAGTTCCATAAATTTTCTTCTAATATGAGTAGTACTTCTGGTTCTTGGTCTCCAAAATGTAGTACAAGGAAGACCTTGTTTTGGAAACAACCCCCTTGCCCTGAAGATGCTGTGTGACTTCTTGGCTCCTTGCATGCTGTCGGCAGGTCAGGACCTTCCCAAATCCTCAGAACTGGTTCAGCCTTGGAATCTCCCAGAGGGTCAAGACCAGCCCCAGAGAGGAGAGTTGGATCAGGTCTCTGTCCCCACCCTGCAGGTAGAAGGGGTTGGTCAAATCCCAAGCTCTGTGTCAATGCCGTGTTCTCAGACAAAGATCCACACTTCTCCAGAAATGCTACCTGCAGAGCGACCACAGAAGGCCCTGCGCCCAGGAGCGGCCGCCCCAGGCCCGTTTCCCGGCAGGCCCTGCGCCCAGGAGCAGTCACCCCAGGCCCTTCTCCCAGCAGACGGCGCTGACCATTACTTGTAGAGTCACTTTGGATTTCTCCAAACTAGACTTAAGAATGGCCTCCAGAAACTTCAGTGGCTTGAAAACTCAGAAGGTTCCAGGTCTTGGAAAGCCAAGGATCAGGCGGAAAAGACATAATTCCACAGAGCCTGGCAAAAGTCGGACCAAGATGCAAACAGCAGGAAGTCAAACAGTCTGACTCTCAGAGACCCTGGGAGGTGGTCACGTGATTTCAGGCCGACTAAGTATATTATCAGGCAAGCCATGGTTTTCAAAGAATAAAACTGACAATGACATGTTTGGGTGGCATGTTCTCAAATTCCCAATTACTTGCCTCATTAAAACACACATTCCCATAGCCAAAGAAAGCAGAATTGGGCCAAGAGAAAAGATGTAGGTAATATTTGCACACTTTTTCAGACCTAGTTAATTGTTTATAATAACCCAGTTACCCCAAAGTTGCTTAATTGAATGGACATACTTGGTACTATTTGGATGTTTGTTATAGAATACCTTGTTTTCTGCAAAGAACAGCAGTCCTCTATCCACAGTGGTCTGAATTGTCTGTCCAAAGGTTGGGATGGGAGCATTTGGTTGAGTTGGAATTCGAGCATAGCCTGTACCTTCAAAATAATTTTTGTCTGACTCTTCCTTTCTCCTGTCAACATCAATGATCACATGTCAGAACACAGCAGCAAATGACCACCACTCAAGTGTGCTTATTAATACAAGATGCTGCTATCTGAAAAACAGAGCAAAGCCCATGCAATGTAGCTGTCATGATTTTGTTCAAGAAAAGGAAACATCTTTAAAAGGTTAAAATAGCCAACCATTTCTGCTGGATGTGCTCTTATGCTCTATGATAATCAAACCCTAGCTCAAAAAAGATAATAGTTAAGAGTCCCCTTTGGAAATATCTACTTAGGAAGATGTAGCCTAGCTATTAACTTGAAATAGAATTTTATTCTGAGTAATAGTTTGTCCAAATCCTTTTAACTACAGGGAAGGTCAGGAGCTTAAGACAGCAATTTCCAAATAGGTCCAGCTGCCAGAGTACCTAGAAAGTTATGGTACATTTCATGGACTAATATTTTTTTTTTGAAACTTACAGTAAATATGTAACTTTGTGCCTGAATCAGGTACCATCTAATATTGAATATTTGGGGGTAGGAAGCACCAAAAATTTAAGAAAGATTCATTTTTTTCAAAATTGAGAAAACTCTTATCAATCTAATATTTTATACAAATGAGGAAATTTTAGGGGTGGACTAGGAGTATTGCATGCAGTCATAATTTAAGATCTACTGGCCCAAAGCTATCAGTGACACCAAAATCACATCTCATCGGCTCATCCCTTTATTATATGTAATATAACTACAAGTTACTAAAAATCACAGTTACAGAGACACTGGTCCCTGGTTGTTTCGTTGTTGTTGTTGTTATTTGTTTTGTTTTGTTTTGTTTTTACCTTCTACAAGGCTCTACTTCAGTTGTGTTGAGATTGAAAGTTTTTTTGAAGTTGTACAAGCTCAGGACATTTTCATTGAGGTCATCTAATTCAATACAACCTTTGTATGAAGGCAACCTCAGTCTAGCAGGAAGCTGAAAAAATGAAACAAAAAATCTAATTCAACAAAGGACACTGATCAGGCTGGGCAAGAAATAGTATGAATCCATCACTTTTAAATGTCATTGTAGCATAGGGATTAAGAATGTGGACCCTGGAGCTAGAGACCCTGGCTTTGCTATTTACCAGCTGTCTGACTTTGGACAAGTTATTAAACTGCTCTGTCTCAGTTTCTTCATCCATGAAATGGGAATGGTAATGATGCCTATTTAAATTCATATACTTAAGTCTAGATCACTGCACATAGGAAGTACTCAAAAACTGTTAGTTTTTATCACTGGATATGCTTTAAGAATATATAGTTAAATCCTTCTTATATATAATGGATAATTGAAATAGAGACCTGAGGTTCTCATGCCAAATTCAAATGTAAATATTTTCACTCAGTGAAATGACATTCACACTTACTCTAAAGTCAGGTGGGTAACCTCCAACATAAAATACAACATTTTCAGGATCCAGATTGAGGAGCGTGTGGCTGTTTCCACCACCCATTTCATGGAATTGGGGTGTTCCGGGTTTACTGGATGTGGCTTTTTTGGTGTAATTTAGACTTGCAAACTGATAAATTCTGTTTAAAAATAAATTAAAGTTATATTTAAAAATTATACAAACATCGAAGAAGTCAAAGCCAAGATACTGAAAATGGGGTTTAGCAGCACATACATTGGGGAGTTTGGTGAGTGTGGGTCAGATTAATAAAGAGCAGAGGTCAATGGGACTTTTACCTCTGAAATTTCACCCGGTCCATTACTGCCTCCTGAGTGTCGCTCTTGGTCACGCTCTGGTCCACTTGGAGTTCAGACTCCTGGTCTCCCAGGTTGTAAACACACGTGAGCTTGCCGTCTACAACTGCCATGCCGATGTAGTCCCTGGAGGCCTAGAGACATCAAGGCCACTTCAGAGCACTTCGAACACACCCTGGTCCTCTCAACTTCCCATCCCAAGAGAGGGCATTTCAAATAACTAACGGGTTTTACACAATAACCCTTGGGCAGACAGAATAAATGAGGTACCTCCTTGTACAGAACAATACAGACAGAACACTTAATAATGTCTGCACTGTCTTCTCTCCTAGATCATTGCACTCATGGATTCACTCTCCCATTTGCTCAATCTGCAAATATTTGCCAAGCACTTGCCGTAAAGATGAACCAGATACAGACTCAGGTCTCCATTGGATTTTAGTCTAGAAATAAGCCATTTTTGTTCTCCCTGTACCATATAATGATCTCTTAACACTTTGCACATGCCTTTGTTATAATACCTAGAACCCTCTGTTATCACGGTCAGCTACATATGTATCTTTCTTTGTTAGAATACCAGCACCTGAAAGTACATATGAAGTTTTAAAATTGTGGTAAAATATACATAACATGAAATTTACATTCAAGAAACACATTTTTGTGTATCATAAATACAGTGTTGGTGCCTTGTAGGTAGATGGTATAAAATTGTTGAAGGAATAAAGTAATGTGCATTTTGTCAAGATACAAAGCAGAAAGTCATGTCATAAGAAAGCTACAAATAGGGCACCTGGGTGGCTCAGTCGGTTAAGCGACTGCCTTCGGCTCAGGTCATGATCCTGGAGTCCCTGGATCGAGTCCCGCATCGGGCTCCCTGCTCGGCGGGGAGTCTGCTTCTCCCGCTGACCCTCCCCCCTCTCATGTTGCTTGCTCTCTCTCATTCTCTCTCTCTCCAATAAAGAAATAAAATTAAAAAAAAAAAAAAAAGAAAGCTACAAATAAAGTACCAACACTTTAAAGCATTAGAGAGTGATTAATAATAATGTCAATTTTAGGAATCTTTAAACACCCACATGCACTAATCACAGCGAATTACTTCCTAACTGACCAGAATTTTCCAGAACCATGTTTCAGACATTTTTTCCCCAGCCATTATATCCTAACCCAGCCAGCGATTACTTTTTCCTCTGACACTTAAGTTGAAAAAAATATATTTTAAGAGGAGGGACTAAAGGCTAAAATGAACTGTTCAAGAGGTGCCAGGGTGGCTCAGTCGGTTGAGCATTGGATTCTTGGTTTTGGCTCAGGTCGTGATTTCAGGGTTGTGAGATCAAGCCCTGTGTTGGGCTCTGCACTGGGCATGGAGCCTGCTTAAGATTCTTTCTCTCCCTCTTCCTCTGCCCCACCCCACTGCTTGCTCTCTAAGAAAAAAGAAAAAAAAATGAACTGTTCAAAATGCCTGTAACAGTAGTGGTTTAAAGAACTTAGAATTAGAAAGAGATAGGGCAACTGCATGCCTTATTAATTAGTCAGAAGAGGCTTCATTTCACTCCAGTCCTCACCCACAGATGGTCCCATCCCTGCCGACTTGAGGAAGAGTCTGCAGCTGGGCATTCTGAGGAGGAGGGCAGGGTCACGATTTTGTGAGAAAGAACCACTGATGATTTCCATGAAGCCTTGATATTGCTGCCCTGGTTGTGTAGGGAGGGGTGCTGAACTTTAACTCCTGGTGTGCATGTGCTCACATGTGTCATGTGCTAAGCCCATTGGGCAAGATCTCTCCATCAGATAAGGCCAACAGAGAACAATTTGCAATTGATGGGTGGCCCCTTGGGATGCCATCAGAGGTGGTGGAGTCTGCTGACATATTGGTGGGATTTCTTCCTGCTGTGCCAATGGCAAGGACACACTTGTGACATGTATCTCAAAAACCATATTCTTGGGCGCCTGGGTGGCTCAGTTGGTTGGGCGACTGCCTTCGGCTCAGGTCATGATCCTGGAGTCCCGGGATCGAGTCCCGCATTGGGCTCCCTGCTCTGCAGGGAGTCTGCTTCTCCCTCTGACCCTCCCCCCTCTCATGTGCTCTCTCTCTCATTCTCTCTGTCTCAAATAAATAAATAAAATCTTTAAAAAAAAAAAAAAAAAGAAAAACCATATTCTTTTGGGCCACAATTCAACCCACAAATAGTGGAATTCCCCAAGGTGATGGTAGCATGAGCACCCCAACAGCGTTCTAGGGGAAGCCTGCTGCTGTGTCATGAGGACACTTAACAGCCCTATGGAGAGGACCATGTAGCATGAAAAATGCCTCCTACCAACAACCAGCACTAACTTACAAGGCATGTGAGTGAGCCAAACTGAGAGCAAATCTCCAGCCCCAGTCGAGCCTTCAGATGACTGCAGCCCTAGCCAACATCTTGACAGACAGCTCATGAGATCCCCTGAATCAGAACCATCTGGCTAAGCCACTCTTGAACACTGCACCATAGAAACAGTGTGAAATAATAAATATTTACTGTTGCTTTGGGCCACTAAGTTTGGTGGTCATGCAGCAAATACAGAACCAATATTAAAAAAAAAAAAAAAAAAAAATCCCCAAACCAAACAAGAGAAATGTCAAAGCGATACCTACATCTTTATTTCCAAGGTACATCACAAACATATTCTCAGTCCTCCCATATTCTCTTGATTCAGGTCTTTGGAGAAACAAAGAAAGAGATGTGTATCCTTTCAAATCTTCTAGGTCATTTGGCAGCCGGACTTCAACTCCAGATTTACCATTGAACCTCATGGGGACAGCAACCTGTAAGGGAAAAGATCTAGGTCATTAAAGATTCTTCTGTGAGGAAAGGGGGTGTGCTCAGAGGGACAACCTGGGACTCTGCCACAACTCCTTTCATCTCTATGTCAGCATTTCCCAGTTGTTATGATAAAGAGCAAAGGAGTGTGTGTGTCTCCTAGGTCTGGGTTATAAACTCATGAAGCTGTTTCAGGAGCTGAGTAGTAAAGCATTCATGTTCTTCCTGTTTACCAGCCAGGGGTCTTTGAGAAGTGCATCTAATTCTCTGCACCAGAAATGATAATCATTATTATAATCATAGTTGCAACCCTAGGAGGTTTTTGTACAGATGACCTAACATGTATGGAAGCACTTAGCATGGTGCCTGACATGTACATATATAATACATCAAAAATATTTTTTAAATAAATTCTTTAAGGAATCATTCCCCATTAATATATTACATGTTATGGTTGTATTTATTATAGGCATTCAGTCCTTAAAAACGAGTGCATCAGGGCTCTCTAAAACAGTGCTTCTTAAACTCAGTGGGTGAAGGACCATTTTTTCCCCTCTCTAATCTGCCCTGGACCAATACTTTTGTAAATACATTAAAAATCAAATTATTAGAAAAATGAAATAAATAAGGTGTGCAAAATACATGCCTACTATCCCATGCTTGAATTTTGAGGCAATTCAAATTACTGAAAGTTTTTAGACATATACATTCAACTTTATAGTTACATATAATGGACCAGTAACAAAATTTCTCTGACTAGTGCTGGTCTGTGGACCAACTTGGGTACATGGCATTCAAACACAGAAAATAAATGTTCCTTAATAATCTAAAGAATAACACTCCTGGACTGATACCTACACCAACTATATTTTATCTATCAAACTTTAAATATTTATGGAAAACCTGGTTTATGCAAGGTATTATGTTGGAGTGGGGTACTTAGCGATGGTGTGGGCTGTCATTTCTCGAACGTGCTTGTGACTGAGCACCCCTCACCCATTTTACAGGCTCATTTTATTCCTCTTTCTCTACTCCCCTCCACCCTCCAGTCTACCCAACCACATCCTGAGTCTTTCCTGGCATGCCCTTTGTCAAAACCTGAAAAACTCTCAGTCTTTTTAATTAAGAAGCCATCTCATGTATACATAAAAAGAATGGAGAATATACCTGTATATTCATTACATTCCTAAGAAATTTAACATGAGTGGTATAATAGAAGCTCCTTGCATATCTCACCTTGTCCCCATTCCTCCCTCTCATATCAGAGGCCACCACCACCCTGGATTTAGATTCCCATGCACGGTCCACACATGTTGCAATATTTTTACTAAAATGCATCTATCTACAAACTGTAATTAGTTTTATTACTCATGTTTTAAATACTTTAATATAAATGGTATCTCTACATATCCATCTACAACTTGCTTTCTTGGCCTCACTCTGTTTGTAGATTTATCTGTATTGACACATCTGCTGGCTCCAGCTCATTTATATTTATTGTGGTGTGGTCTTTCATTGTATACATTTATCACAGTTTTATCCATCTCCTATTGATGGACATTTGGCTTTTTTCCAATTATCTTTGTGATGACAAGCTGGGTCGCATTGAACATTCTTCTCTGTGTCCTTTAGTACCATTCTGAGCCTCTCCAGGTAGAAATGAGTGTTGTCAAGACAAGCTTAACACAGTTTTATCCAGCTTCTTAGTGTATTCTGCTCACCAGCTGCCGCATGCAGCAGCTGGTGAATAACCCGAGGTCAGGGTTTTGGCTTACTAATCTCTGTGTCCTGGGCACCCAGGAGAGCTCAAAAGCGCCGGCTTATTTTTAAGTTATATTTTATTATTTTCCACTTACATGGTACTATTAGCCAGGAACTATTTTACATTACCTAGTTTAATCCTAAAAATCTCATGGGGGCAGTCTTATGTACCCTGCTCTACAGATGAACAAAGTGAGGCACAGAGAGGTGAAGTGGCTGGCCCAAAGTCCCACAGCTCATAAGTGACAGAGCTAGGATCAAAACCAAGGCAATCTGGTTTTGTTAACAAGCTCTTAACCATGGTGTTATTACATGCTTCAAATTTTGTTGGATAAATTAGTGAATGAACATAGAAGGGCAAAAGCTAGAAACATTAATATTTTTCATTTGGTTTATATAAAGCATGAATGGGTGTGAAAAAGTAGTGTCTTCCAACTGTGCCTTATGCTCTTTGTTTTCCTGTTAAAGGTTTTTTTTTTTTAAGATTTTATTTATTTATTTGACACAGAGAGAGAGAGAGCACAAGCAGGAGGAGTGGCAGGCAGAAGGAGAGGGAGAAGCAGGGTCCCTGTGGAGTGCAGAGCCCAATGCGGGGCTCCATCCCAGGACCCCGGGATCATGACCTGAGCTGAAGGCAGACACTTAACTGACTGAGCCACCCAGACACCCCGCTGCTAAAGGTTTTACGTTGGGAGTATTTCTCTTTCCCAGATGTAAGGGCTCAAAAGAGGTAATAGTGAGCCTTGGAATCAACCACAGTGTCCTTAGGGCAGTGATACTCTGACTTGGTTTCCCAACCCTCTGTCTCCGAATATCTCACAGGGGGGTGGATGAAAAATGCAAGATGTTTCATTAATATTATTTTAGGACAAAACAAATTCTTAAGAGCGAAGTGTCAGGAATTCAGGTAAATACTGTCAGGTGAAAATGAGAAAGGCTGATGAATTTGTGTTCCAATGAAGAAAATCTGCTATAATCCTCTGTCCTCAGTAAAGGTGGATTCTACAGCTTTCGAGCTATAATAAGAAACTAGGGCTTGTGAAGTATCACATCAGCACATTCTGATGATAGAACCCTTACTTGAACTTGCAATAACACTTCCCAACGAGGGTCTGGAGGAGAACCCTTCTTCCCGCCTGCATAAACTCAATGGGGAGGAAACTGCTTCAGGTCTCTGACATACCAGATCATTTAGGGCATGAACGTAACGTGCACTTTTGAAGGTTGACAGGAGGAAGTCAACTTTCACATTCCAAACAACCAAAGAATTAGAGCAAGAAGGACAACGAGTTCATGTGTAAACAAATGCCTTCCCTTTCTTGATGAATGTGGTGACTTCTCAAAGATGGAGCCTTAGTGCCTGGCAATGTGGGGACACACCTACCTTATTTGCAGCATCTCTGGCCTGCTGAATTAGCTCCCGGATACGGTCCACATTATCAGAGATGTTGCCCAGTGGCAACAGCTGTTGGTTGATACTTTCAATCTTGCTCAAAAGATCGGGCAGTTTGTTGGTTAATTTCTTTACTGTGGGTGAGATTACAAAACAAATTTATAATTGCGAGTTGAGAAAAGGTTAAATACAGATTTTCTCATTGACACTATTTGTCAAGTGTTATGTTTGGTTCCCAAATATTGGATAGAATGGCTCAGAGTCAGGTAATACCTTTCCTAAATACATCATGGATTTTAGCTTGCGATCTAGTTATCAGATCATCTTTCTTGACCACTACAGAAGAAAATAAATCTTTGTTTTTTGATTCTTAATATCAATTATAATTTAATACCTCATGATTAAGGGATCTGTATCTCCACTCTATAACAGGAAAAATCAATAACAATTTTAATGGGTTAAAAAAAATTCTACCTAGTCTTTCCAATTAATAGAATGCCCATATTCTTTGAATGTATTACATGAAGCTGCTTTCTAATATTTTAATTTCTAATTTTGGGCTTTACCAGGGAAGAATTTAAATAAATCAACCAAAGCACATAACAATGCAGAAACTGGATAAGATGTCCTGGCCAAAGGATGCCTGATACCTGAGTTATCCGCGTCGGTGAGAGCCTTGTTGAAGTCTTCACTCTGTGTGCTCCCATAGGTATCCTTAATTCTTGTCACATCTGTCTGAATGGGGCCGAGCCCGTCGAGCACCTCATTTGTGATGTCATTGGCATTTCTCACCATGCTCTTTGCGCTACTGATCACACCACTGATGTCATCTAATGCACACACACACAGAGAGGTGTAAGTATCTGAAATGCTCGACAAAAGAAGCCAAGTCTGGTGGGTAGGGAGATGCTGACCTCTCTGTATCCCACGCAGGTCATCACGGATAGCAGTGAGATTGGTGTCAATCAGCCCTTTCTGAACTGTCAGAACTTTCAGAGTCTGCTGTAGGTTGTTGAGAGCCGGGCTGATTTCTACAATAAAGCATCATGAGGCAATTACCTATGGATTTTGATCTTCCATTGGTATTGGTGGCGCCTGAAGTAGCCAGCATCGACAGATCACTGAGCAGACCTGCATCTCAGAGATGCCCACTGTGTGTGCCTAGACCCACAGCTCCCCTGGACTCTGGTTACAGAGGTCAGGAGCATTCCCAAGCCTGTAGTCCCAGGCTCCTCAGAAATGCCCATGAAGAGAGGGAGAGGCTTCATCATTTAGGGGAGGTTTAACTTCCACTCTGCTCAGGGCAATTGTCTCTGCTCAGGGAAGGAAAGGGAGGTGACTATCTTATTCACTGCTGTGTCACAGTGCATTGTCTGGTACTAGTCTGGGCTTAGTATTAGTACATACTCACTGAATGAGTGAATAATGCAGAAAGGATGCCTCTTCAGTCAGAATATAATAAAGAAGTGCCATTGAGAGAACCTTGAGCATGTGGCATGCCTTAGCAAATAGACACACAAAGTAGGCATTGTTTGTTTCTGTTCATTTCCAGACTGACACATTTAAGGCGATTCAGTGAAAGGGAGGGAGTTCCCAGACATTCCTAGCTGATAATATTACCACTTCAGGGTCATGCAACATGACCAGTGAATGTTTTAAGACCCAAGTGATGATATATGGCTTAAATTATGATTCCAGGACTGATTTAAATAACAATGTAGACAAATACCATATGATCTCTCTTACATGTGGAATCTAGAAACATGCCCCAAATGAAAACAACAAGCTCATAGATACAGGGAACATACTAGTAGCTGCCTGAACCCGGGGGTGAGGGTGGGAAAAATGGGTGAAGGGGTTGAAAAGGTAAAAAGAAGCAAGCAAGCAAGCTGGCAGAAAACAAAAGAAAAAAATACCAACAAAGTTAGCATCCTTAACCCTATTTAAAACACCAATCCTCACCTCTTAGTAAAGCGAATAGATGTTATACCAGGAAATTTTAATTCCTGCAATTTGCTAATCAAATCATTCTAGGTCACTACACATTTTTTTGGATGTAATTTTTCATGCATTGAATTTTTTTAAATAAAAAAAAAGATAAATACATTTATTCACTGTCAGAAGGCATCTAATCACTAAAGGGCCTAAGATGACTTCTTGGCCATGAAGAACAGGAGAGACCAGAGAAAAATCAAGAGACAGCATTTTCAGAACACTGGAATTTGGTGAGATTGAGATGGTTTAATTGTTTTGTAAAAAATTAAATAAATGGGAAATTTTCAAAGATAAAATGTGTGATTCAAAAATTCTTATGCTTCACAATGGTAGTGATTTTGGTACTTTTACTTACTAAGGTTCTAGGACTTAAGAAATTTTGAAGCACCAGTGACCTGGAACTATTATCTGGGCCTTCAAAGAGAAACCAGACCTGCACACGCCTCTATGCTGTGTGGGTCTCCAATGCCATGGTCACATGTGGATTAAATGAAACAGGCCCCCAAGTCCAGGCCCAAACAGGCCTGTCGCCTTCAAGATTTATGTATACTCATGAGGTTCTAGTTAATTTAGTACATGTGAGAATGTTGGGTGGAAACATTAAATCTATAAAATAGACCATGAATTTCCAGAGTGTCGTCTGCATTGACACTGAGGTTCAAGAAGAGCATTTGCTGCTAGAATTTGCTGCTTCTCCTGGTCTTATCAGTCGTTTTCAAGCCCTTGGCTATCCCAGCCACCCCCTACCCACCAACCCTAATACCTTGCCGGAGCTGCTTCTGTGTTATCTTGGCTTGCTTTAAGAGTTTATCACTGTCAAAACTCAGAGTTTTCGCTTTTCTTGGAAGATCTTCCTTTATCACTGTCTGAAAGCAAAGCATTTATCAGCCTTGAGCATGTGGCATGCCTTAGGAAATGCGGAGTGAGATTTTCATCCTACTCTGAAAACCCTTATCTTCAGCCTTTAAAGGATGAGGTTCAAAGGTGGGGAGGAGCCTTAAGACTGTTTCTTAAAAGATACAGTTAGGGCTGTAGGTAGATACTCGTCACTTGGGGAGGTGGACCCTTCCCTGGTGACAGACTGACAAATTATGTGACACCTGTCTCATTTTTCTGCCTGTTGTTTGCACAATACCCTCTACAATAACTGAGACAGAACTGAATTGTTTTTAGGTTTTCAATATTTGGGAGAGAAACATCTTTAACCTTCCAAGAAGGCCTGTCCCCTAATTCTTTGATGTCTAATATTTTGTTCATTTTTAGGTATAGGAATATTATATGGTGCAGAGAAGATCCCACAGGACTCCAAGACATGCCTAGGTGTTAAGACAAATGGCAGGTGGGCGCCTGGGTGGCTCAGTTGGTTAAGCGACTGCCTTTGGCTCAGGTCATGGTCCCGGAGTCCTGGGATCGAGTCCCACATCGGGCTCCCGGCTCGGCGGGGAGCCTGCTTCTCCCTCTGACCCTCTCCCCTC